GCACAAATGCAATTTGTGGATTTCATCAACAGGATTCCACAGATCTGCAAGGTTCAACAGCAGGGTTCTGCTAGCTCTGTTCACTATGGGGTGCATTTAGTTGGCATTGGTCAAGCCCATCTGTTCCCGTAAGGTTCTGATGTATACACTCCACCAGTATTAAAAAGAAAGCTGCCCGAGTAAGAACACAAACCCTTTAATCGAAGGAAGAAGGAGACTAAAACAAACAGAAGGTCCATTTGTGTAAAAAGTTGTTCTACATTTATAAAATTTTACATCAGCCTCATGTTCCTCTCTGTTAAAATGAAGAACAGCTTCCGGTTCTTTAAACTAAAAATAAATAAATAGTTAATACAATAGCAATGGTTTTCTTCACTTAGAGTGCAAGAAATAAATAAAAGTATCCTTCTAGAACCAATTTTAGTCTTTCTGGTAAAATAAAGGTTAGTCTTAGTTGAGAAAATTATGGAGAAACAAATGAAAATCTTGATACTGATTCACTCACCACTGATCTTTAAGAATGTCCAGACATATTGCACCTGTGACCGAGCTGATATTGGGATGCCAGATCTTTGTGATAAACCGCACCTGAGGTATTGAAAGGAGCAATGAATTGTGAGTGGATTAATAGAAAACACATTTATTAATGCATATTGTCCATTGCTACAGAAATAGGATGAACCTTTACCTTGGGTGGATTGAATGGATACGTCTCTGGAATTTTAATTTCTAGTTGATATCTACCTCCTGTCAAAAATGAAAGCAATAACAAGATGAAGATAATTGATTGGAATATTTAGGGCTGAAACATTTTGATTAATCGTGACTAATTGATTTAAATAATTGTCATTAATTCAGTAATTGATTAATTATTAACTGGAGTACAGAAACTCTAAAATATGCCTTTAGCTAACAGAGCAACCCATTTAGAGCAGTAATTATATCAAAACTTTAAAAGAATATTATCATTTCGCATTTAAGATTTTTTTTTAAAGTTTCAGTCTGTTAATATGTTCTATCAAGACCTCCTCAAGTGGAAAAGTTTTTAACTGGTTTAATTTTGTAAAAAAATCATCTTTAAAGAACCTTTGGCTATCCGATTATTTATTGATTCATCGGAAAAAAAATCGACAGGTTAATCGACTAGTAAAATAATCGTTAAAGCCCTAAAGCAATTTAGCCAAGATTTTTAAACTAAAACGTTAAACAGTGTATACTACATAATATTGAAATTGTAGAAACTAGTAGCACATAATTTCTTAACCATCAGGTAGATCTATCAAAATAAAAGCCCATATAAATCCTCAAGCCTTACAGAACCTTATAATTGTAGCGCAAGCTCCGTCAAAGGGTACGCTGCACTCCTCTAAATTCATCACTGTTACACAGGTGGGACCTTTGAATATTTGGTTGAAATGCAAAGTTCCCAACACGCCCGTGCAATACTATTGTTTATTATTGCAATGAATGTAGATACTATTGCAATAAACCCACATTTCAATTAATCTTTCCCCATCAACACCATGATCCCATCAAATTTTCTCTTCGGTCAAAATGTTTTTTTTTTGTACGAAGATTTTGTAATGGTGCATGCAATTCAATTTAGTTACGAATAGAGATGAACACAACTAAGTAAATACGCTGTAAAATGACTGTTTAATAGTACAACCAACATCTTGCATAAATAATAGTGAAAGTCTTTTTAACTGCCATAATATCTTTTGCAAGGTGAGTTTCAATGCATCATCACTGAACCCCCAAATCAATGTATTCCAAAGGAAATTATGGCATTTCCAAATTTATGTTGGGATGATTATGGTGAGTCAACATCACCTTTCACAACTGATCAACATAATTTTTTTTTTTGTCACATTCCAATTTGTAGATGTCCTTTTTCTTATGTCAAGAGTCTTTGAGATTGTATGAATGTCTCCAAGAGATCATAATAAGATGAATAAGGTGAGGGATAGCAAAAGCACAGTGGAAGGTATGAATTAATGGATGGTCACAGAGATGAGATCAAAAACACATCCGGAGTAAAACGAATACTTGTTAATGTCGTTCAAGGGTTTATTTATTTTTTTACCAATACTATTAGATATTTAAAAAGAAATTATCAGAGAAAGTGTTTCAAAACAATAACAATTTCTCATTGCTTTAGGGCTGCATCTATTGATCATTTCAGTAATCAATTAATGTATTAATTTTTTTTTATTTAAGAGAGATACTTTTAGTAAATTACCATTTCTAAATAAGCTATGATTTGAAATAAGAAAAATTGTTACACATTTAAAATGAATTGCATGTGGCAAAACATGTAACACATAAATTCATTGAGCTTTGCCTTCATTACTGCAGTAAGCAGGTTACTCTTTTAGAAAACTGTGTTTAAGGCCCCGTCCACACGAAGTCAAAACGAACACGAAACGCTGATATTTTCCAAAACGTTTGCCGTAAAGACGGAGACGTAAAATAAATGTGAGCGTCCACACGAATGCATGAAAACGCTGCAAAATGTATGCCAGGCCTGTAAGTGGCGCTGTGGTGCCAAAGCAAAAATAAGCGACGAAATGTTGGGCATGTGCCCTAATATTTATACATGGTTGCCCTGCAGGGCCATTTTCGTGGTTAAGTGAAATTCAGGTGCTGAACTATGTCGTCGATATTGCTCTGTTCTTCCTGGAGATATTCCAGAAGAAGATTCTGTTGTAAGCCCGACAGCAGGGTGAGTAGCATTAGCAACGGCGCCATTGTTGTTGTGATACTGGTCACGCATGCGTGTGTAGAGGCGATGCTATGACGCATGCGTGTAAAAAAAAATATGCGGTTAGGGCGTAAAGATGGAAACGCGAAAACGGCGTTTCAGAATCTTCCCACTCTGAAGGCTGAATAAAAAAATGATCGTTTACAGACCCCCGAAACGCCGGCTTCGTGTGGATGAGAGGCTGGTTTGGTGAAAAATTTGTGCGTATAGGCCAGGGTTCGTCTTCGTGTGGACGGGGCCTAAGAGTCTTTCTGCCATTACTTTAGGTAACGATTCAATTACCTAATTAGTTGACAATTATCTCTGCAATCAGTTCCTTTTTTTTAGCCCTACAGCCTTTTTCTAAACTTCATGAAAAATCTTTTAAAAGAAATCTGATTTCAATACCGAACAAAGTATTTTAATAGGTTGTTTTTATCAATCGTTCCTTCAGTTCAGAAAACTTTTTTGATGTTGTTCGCATAGCTTTTGTGGGTTGTGGTAGGAGAATTCTTATGATAATGTAAAAATGCATCTCAATTACTATCATGTTTTGTCCTCCTCACACCTGCCAAACCTGTTTATTTTTTTAGACTGCATTTGTTCATTTAACCGATTAGACTGTTAATATGCTTAAGAACCTATGTAGAATAAAATCTGTTATGTGAGTGCATGCTATTCGGTCAATGAGGGGTCAAGAGTCCATTAAAAGTTGGCAGTGACAGCAGTGTCTCTTTAAAAGTTCCTCACCTTCATATGGCGTGTCAGGGGGCCCTGCTATTTCTCCTCTGAGTTCTGTGAAGTTCTCATCCACCAAGTCTACCTTTATTTGGTTTTTGCTTGTCTGGAAGAGTAAACAGAAAGGAAGCATTAAACACTGAGAAGGCTGTTAACAGTCGACTATCCTGTAAACACAATTCACCATTAACTGCCAACTCATGCAACATTGAGATGGTGAAAGGTTGACCTCAACTTGTTGCATGTTTAAAGCTCTCTGTGTTAGAGCGATTCCAATTTGACTCCTAATGATGTATATTGGGTGAAAATGACACGTGGGTTAACTATGCTTTAATTACTACAACTCCCAAAAACATTTGCTCCGGTTGCCCCAGCTAGCTTAGCGACTAGCTAGGGTGATCACTTAAAATATTCTCAGATTGCTTTATAGGCTGAAATGTATTGGGCTGTTTTAAAGCAAGAGGTACTCTTTTAACCTTTGCCTTAACGAAGTGGCAAATTTTTGTTAGCTGACGTTTTTGCCTCCTTATTATCAAAGCGTTACGGCTAGCTACAGCTAGCCACTTTAGAGAACAAGCGTCACTCTCATTCAGCCGCAGAAAGTGAAACAAATTGAGGTCCGGCTTGGAGTGGCAAACACGACAACATACCTCTTCGCTCTTCAGGACTTCCTTGAACTCCCGTTTTATCCTCTGAACAGCAATATTGGCCATAGTTTCCACGGTGTAACCGTCCGTCTGGTTGGTTGGGGCCTCGTCGCCAGTCCGACCAGTGAGCTAGCGCTAGCTGCTTTTACCGACAGCAGCTCCTGAGTTTTTTTTGTTTGTTTTTTTTTTATAATACACAGAAGCAAAAATAACAACTGGAAAGTCGCACACCTTTTGTCTCGTCCGTCCCCGATGTTAGTGGGAAGTTTAATGCGGGCGAAATAGCCTAACGTGTATCTGTCATCTCAACTGTGCCACAACACAATGGTTGGTGGAACAGAAAACATTTTAATACCAAAAACTGCATGCAGTCTAGAGAGGGTCACGTGACCCAGAGCGTCAGCGCTGCCTCCCATTGGTCAATCACTAAAAAACATGAATAATAATAATTATTATTTTTGTTATAATTATTATTATTATTATTATTATTATTATTATTATTATTATTATTATTATTATTATTATTATTATTTATGTAATAATGTAAATAATAGTAGTAATAATAATAATCATTATTATTATTATTATTATTATTATTATTATTATTATTATTATTATTATTATTATTATTATTATTATTATTATAAGCATCATTAATAATCATTATTATTATTGCTGTTACTTCAATTTTTCTTCGTTCACCAAAAATTTGAAAGAACATAAGAAAAGATGTTATAATACCAGCACTATTCTTTACAAAAAACAATGGGAAGAATAGTCAAACAGTACCATCATTTTACTGTGTATTTTAAAATAATCAAAAATAAACAAAGCCAGTCTTGAGCTAAACTTCAAAGTGAGTGAAAAAAAGGTTTTTATTGGAATTTAAGTCACCATATGTATTCAGTTTTTTTAGGCGGGTACCGACAAATAGGTCACCGAAAGCATTTTGAGGGCCAGAAGTTTATTCAACTATTGTCACCCATTCCAGGTAGGCAATAAAAAGTTCTAATGGATTCACTTTGTGTTAGTCTTTTTCCTGCTTCACAAAGGTAGGCAGCAGCTTGACAAAGCCATGATGGCAATTGTTTTACATCCAAGTAGTATGCAGTTCTTCATATATATACACACACACATTAATTTCAGATGGCATCAGTATGGCATTGGTATGGGCCGATAATGCACAGCCAGGTATCGGCATCGGGCCCAAAAAATGGCATCGGTGCAACACTAATAAATAACGCTCTAAATTTGATTACATAGTAATAAAAATGATGAATATGTTCACAGTTTAAATACTTTTATATGAATATAAACAAACAGACATTTTGTCAAGTTTTTATTTTTATTAATCATTAATTAAAATAAATAAGGTCCAATAACTTACCACAATTAACAAAAAAACACAAGTTTTGAGTTATCTTTTTTCTTTAGCTACACAGCCATCCTCATTCATTATATTGAAATAAAAAAAATTATTTTCGTTACATATTTTTGATAATTCAAATTTTTTAGCAGCACTCAACCTTTCAAGATCCTATTAAAAAAATAAACAATAATGAACAAAACAGGACCGTGTCCTTCTTACATACTCAATAAAGTACTACTGCCTATTGGTACAGTTAGATTTAGTCCTTCAAATAAGGTGCAGTGGTCTAGCATTTAATTTTCATATTTTTAAAAGAAACTGATTTCTGTTGACCTCAGAATCGAGTACTGACACCAGGGGGCACTGTTGTTCCATTGAATGAGTTTAGACAGTGTAGGAAATGCCTTGGAAATCAGGCTTGTTCTTATAAAAACTACAGCAACACACAATTAAACATAGACTTTATCAGAGTAACACAAAAACAACATTGTGGTAAATTCACTTATTACATTTTTGTTAAGTTTTGTTTGTACTTAAGGTCATCTTTACCTTTGAAACCAACTTTCAACTATACTTTCAATAAACTTTGAGTTGATAATTAATATCATTAACGTTGTTGCTGTTATATGCTGAGTACTTAGTTTCTATGAACATTTTTACACTTGTATTATCTTTGTTTACACCTTAAATGGTGTAATCTATGATTTGTGGTTTTGCACATTTGAGCTTAGTCTGAAATATTTTAAGAACACAAGACATAGACTGAAATATTTCAAGAACATAGGGAATAGTTTTAAAACCTGATATCAAGATATCATATGGATGATTTTTGTTTTGTTTTTGATGTTGATATATGACATACACCAACAAACATTCACATCTTCATAGTGAAACACAGTGTTGGCAGCATCATGCTGTGAGGGTGCCTCCCTTCAGCAGGGGCAGAAAAGCTGAGCGGGTTTAAGTGGGTGATGGATAAACCTAAACCTAAATACAAGGAAATCCTGAAGTGAATCCTCTTAAAGGCTACAAAAGACTTGAAACAGGGCAAAGTTTCACCTGGAAGAAAGACCACAGCCTACAGGTTCATTAATGGTTTAGGGTAGCACATTCATGCATTGCATTAGCACAGTCATAAACCAAGTCCAACAGAGTATGTGTAGCAGAACATGCAAAACGGTTACTGACAAGTGCTCTTCATACAGCCTGGCAAAATTCAGCTATGTTTTCCAAAGAAAAAAAAAAAAAGTTCAGTTTCCAGAGTTTCATAGATATTATACCTGCACCTAAAATAGGATTTGAAGGTGCTTCTACAAACAGTTTGATTTATTTATTAATTTTTTTGCTATACTGCAAATACACTTTATATTTTCATTTTACTGAAATAAAAAAATAAAAAACATTGTCCTGCTACCTCATTCAAACTGACTAAATGCAAAATGTTAAGAGAGGGTTGTTTTACCTCCTTTTAAGACCATTTATTATGACATTTTTGTGACATATATTGTCTGTAAACTCATTTGTCACTGAAAGAAAACTAAAGAGAGAAACATGCATTTTATTTTGCCTTTTTTCTTCCACATGTTAACAATTCAGTCCTTACTACTGTTAGTACCTGACAGCAGGACATAAACCATATGCTGTTGCTTTTTTTTTTCTCTTTTGGTTCCCTCTCCTCTTCCTCTTCCCTCTGTCATATCTTTGATTTCTCTTATTAATGACAACAAAAACGGCCAATGCAGCTAGCATGGTAAATGTTATAAGGAGGCAGCCCCAAAAAACCAGCATCGGTTTGTTGTTGAACATCCACTCACACATCTGACATATTTCCTGCTGCTCAGTGGGTCTGCATGTCTGGGTTGTGCTATTGTTAGGAGAACCCCTGTTAGCTATGATTTCTCTGTACAAAGCAACAGAGTTCTTGGCTTTGGATTGGTGATGAGTTGAAGTGAAGAGACCAAACTCAGGGTCATGACGATCTTGAAGCCTCAACACATAGAAGCCTTGCAAGTTTACACCATCAAGATGATAAGCTGAAAGCAAAGAAAACAGAAAGTAAAACTTAAATTGTTTTTTTTAACTCTCAGGTTTTACTTCCTCATCCAAAAAGGTGAGAAACCAATTAAAACACTCAAAGGTTCATGTTCAGTATCATCAGCTAAGCAAGCAGTGATAATCAGAGCTGCTGTTTGAGAGTTTGCCTCTCCCTTCATTTATGGTTTTATTATTTTCATGCAGTTTCATTAAGTTTGACATTTATTGTAGGAAGCAATACGATTAACAAATATCATTGTCAATGAGACAGATATATGTCTAAACATACTTAACAAAAAGACTGTTATCTATACCCTATAGTTCAGGCTTCCTAAATTCCAGCCCTCTATGTCCAGTGTCCTGTACCTTTTAGGTGTGTTTCTGCTTCAACACACCAAATAATCACCAAATAATAATCAAATAATCAGATCATTAGTAGGAGTCCAGAAAATTTGGGTGTGTTCAATTTTAAAGACTGCATCCTCCAAGGACTCAGTCTACCTGGTCTAGATACTTGAGGTCTGTGAAATTAAGTAGACTGGAAGAGTTTTGGCTGTGAATACAAGCAGGTTCAGCCTTCCGCAGCTTTCACCGCCCGTACGGTCTGTCATTTAGGGTTGACACAGAAAGCTTATTGTAAAGTCAACAAAGGCTACACTCATAAGAATACAGTGTGGAATAAAGATGACAACCACTGGGAGCATGAACAAATATAAGCAAATGTAATTCTATAAAAGCGGTAGAAAGATATAAACAACAGCAAAAAATTCATAGTAAAGCAAATTGTGCAAAATAGCAATTAGAAAATAGAAATCATATCATATTTACAGTCCCCACACTGCAAATGTATTAGAATCTGTCCTTAAATTACAGCCAAACCCATTTACACAGTAACAGATAAAAACTTTTAAATAAATCAAACATTATCCGCCACATATCTGACTCAATAACCATTTAAAAAACCAATTTTAGTTCTAGACGAAACTATTCACATACTTGCATTAGAAGAAACTGTGCATCCAATATTCACCACTGTTCTGCGCCAAGTACCTTTTTCCTCTGTGCATGGAGCGGCCGGCTTACTTGACTCGCAATGAAACATGGGATATCCAAGGCTGCGTAGGATACAAAGCGGGCAAAAAAGAAGGATGCATTTGTCGACCGCATTAAGGAGCCTTCCGATCCTAACAGACCTCAGCGCCGCGCTATAATGTAATCGGCCTACGAATCTGGCCTTCGGAGGATACAGCCACTGAAGTCGAACTCAGCATTTGACTGCATGCTAAGGAGGTATTTCAGCCATTAGATTCAGGTGTGGAAGCAGGGACACATCTAAACTGCAGGACATAAGACATCATGGTATGGAAGTGAGGACGTCTGTTATAGTTGAACAAGGCATTCAGGATAACTCACCTTTGAGGGCCTCGTGGACATAGTTCTGGAGATAATACTGCCTGAGTTTATCCTCAACAGAAGCTTGGTCATCAATCCCACTGGCTGTGACGATGACAGGCAAAGCTGTACCATACCTTTGATTCACCCATTTCAGCATCTTTCTTAAGCCCCAGGGTACCAGAGCCTGACCTCTGCTGGAGGTAGGCCAGGTGGAGTCTGAGAGAATCACACAGTCATGATCAGGTGCTGATTCCTTCTGGGGGGGTTGTTGTGTGTGAGGATTTGGAGCAACTAAACGTGTTGTGAAATGATTCAGGGCAATAAAACTCAATGCCCCCTTAAGTTCATGTCTTTCATTCTCAGTAAAATGAGGAAGAGGCGATCCGGGAAGGCCAGACACCCTTGCTCTTTCTTCTAGGTATACCTTCATTTCATGGGGGTATTTCCCCTTCGTCTCTTCATCTTTTGTCCCGAGCAGTGGATCCAAGAAGCGTCCAATCTCAAACAAAAGAAATCTTTCTGCTGCCACCGTATGTGACTCCAGGAAAGGGTTAGCCGGCTTAGCCCAGTCAGCATGTAGAGCGAGAGACACCAGCGCTTTCTGCTCAGCAGAAAACTCCCTCTCATGTAACCTCCAGGCTTTGGCATGGGCTAGAAGCAAGTTATGAGCTGCTTGGTGCCTCTGTGTGACGTTGGAATAAACATCTATAAGTCTGTTTGGCTCATTTATGGTGATCCAATATTGAACCCAGGAACCCAGTTCCTGGTAGCAAAGTGCTGCATATTCTAGAAATGCTTCTATTGTGGCGTTATTTATCCAACCCCCAGAATCATGCAGCGGCCCTGGCAAACCCAGGTTTGGAGCTCTGTGTGACGGGTAGTACAAGATGACCATTGCTTCCATGTTTAGCCTCTTGAGCTCTGTCAGCACACAGCGATAGTACCTTTTAGAAGTAAAAAAAAGAAGGAGTTAATTTTTGAAAACAAGATGGTAGAGTTTATAAAAGGAAAGGCCTTTTGAAAACTTGGAAATCAGGTTCCTACCCAATGTATTCATACCCTTTGAAGAGGTTTTCATTGAGTTACCTTGCACCATACACTTCAGTGTATTTATTGTAATTTTATACAATAGACAAATAAAAAAAATAGCTCAGTGTTTCAAAACATAAAACACCTAAACACAAAAATCTTATGATGAAACAGTCAAGAAAAATAATCTGAAATCTAAGTTGCATGTCTGTATCCAACCCCTCTGACAAAATACTTTTACGAACCGCCTGTCATTGCAAGTAGAGTAACAAGAGTTTTTGTAATGTCTCTACTAGCTTTGGACATCAAAGGACTGAAATGTTTGGCATTTCTTCCTTCTCTAGAAGTGTTCAGGGTAATTCTATGGCATGAAAGTGGTTTGATCTTAGCTGTTCGACTTCATCTCTGTTGGATGGGTTTGCTCCTGTAGGTGTACCAACTTAAGACTGAGGCAAAGATTTTAGTAAATTTCTTATGGCATTCATTACACAATTGCTTTTATGTATGCAGTAAATTAGTTCTTATCCTTTAGATAAATTATGCTACCTAAGCTGTGCAGCTCATCCAAAGTTCTTTTCTCTCCAAAGCATGGCCTTTTAGTTCAGTAAGGCACACTTTGCAGATGTGACTTATTCTTTCCAGTTTTGGTTGATGGATTGGAGTTGGTAGTGGATTCAGTTTCTCTGGAGTTAGTAGCTCTGGATTGTATTTTGGGGCATCATAGTCAATCTACACAAACTAAATTTAAATTTAAATAAACCGTTTTCCTTCAAATTCACATTTAAGCTCCAGTTAGTGTTAGTCTGTTAGATACAATTCTGATAAAATACTCAGCGGGGGGTTGAGGTTGTAATGTGAGAAAATGTAAAAGGTGAAAGTGACCATAAAAATCTTTATCTCTAAAAAATGAAATCAGTATAATTCAAGTGTAATCAGTTAAAGTTAGTTTCATTTTGTCAGACTCAGAGGTTTGTGTGCTTGTTGATTTCTACCTCAGTGCTTCAGTGTTTACATTCGAGCGACCTCCATCGGGTAAAATCAGAGACCAGTTAAGAGCGAAGCTGTAATGAGATGCCCCGGTGGATGCTAACAGGCGAAGATGGTTGCGGATAGCCAGATAATCTGTGCACTGGGCTGGCCTGGTGTTCAGCTTCAACCCGGGAACTGGACGCAGCGAACCGTCTCCTGTCAAGTTCCAGGTATATACATGTGGGTCAGAAAACTGCGGGGAAAAAGGGTGAAACTGGACCTACAAAGCAGCAAGAAAAATTTTTATGTATACCAGATCTTTGTTAATCTCTTGACAGTAATTTGTGTGGATCCAAGAAGGGTTTTACCTGCAGTGTAGAGCCTGCAATTCCCCAGTGAAATTTGCATGGGAATTGGCCCTTAACATCCAGAGAGGTTTCATCATTTGGAAAACCATTGCTTGCAACAATTTGCTTGAAGTATTGAGCTGTTGTCTTTGGGACCCTTGTTCTGTTTCGCTGTTTAAAGTCAATGTAGAAAAGACCTCTTCTTACACCATAGCCATAATTCCACTCAAATCCATCCACCAATGACCAGGCTAAGTAGCCAAACACCTGTACACCATCAAACTTGATAGCTAAAAAGAAAAGAAGATATTTCAGTTTTTAATTTTCCAGCTTGAAATGTATTGTCTAACATTGCATCGTAGAGGTTTCCTGCTTACCCTGTAGTACTTGGTGAATAAAGTTTTTCATCGAATAGATGGCAAGTGTATCTTCTCTTCCGACACTGGCGTTGGAGAACCAGCCTCCCTCCGCGACAAGCACCTTCAGGTTTCCATATTCCAGTGTTATCCAGCTCAGCAGGCGTCTCAGGTCTGCAGTGATGCTTTGCCCATAGCGTATCACGCTTTGGCCTAGACGGATATTGTTTGGCCCAAACGACAGAGCAAAAAAGTCTGCTGTTTTCTGCACCCACAGCTTCTCCTCTGGGGTGAATATAGGCATTAGGGCTGCATGTTTTGTTTTCAGGGAGACTGGATAGTCCCCATCACCAAAGATGGGCTTGGCGAACCATCCAAGAACGGCCTCCATGGACTGCTGACATAGTGCAGCGTTGGTAGCTGTGTACTGGCCCCTGTGAGGTTCAACCCAATGGGAACCTAAAACAATGGATACTTTACCGTTCTGAGCTTGGCGGAAGTGAGTGTTGTAGGTCTGCCATGCTTTGGCGTGTGCCTAAAATAGAAAGCATATACATTGTAAGTATATCATTAAATTATTCTTTAAATAATTCAGAAACAGTTTACCTTATAAAATCAAACTTGGCTGTGTACCTATTGTCTTTTTTAGCCACATTTTAATTTTATGAGCCACATACACCACCCTGCAATGGTGTGCTTACCCAGTAAACACATTTTTACACATTACAAATTTAATTGTATTTTATTGTGATTTCATGTTACAGTTCAACACAGAAATCTAATGAACTTCTCTAATGCCTTCAACTATTCAAGAAGAGCAATTGTGCGTCATACATTACATTAGGTCCTGCATCAAAGAGAGCAGGGGTTTCAGACAAAATGTGAGCTATCTATGAATATTAATATTTTATGTCAACAGATCAAATTAAAAATAACATCTTAATTAGGACAAAGAGTTGAGGCAAATATTTAACTGTGTATTAAGCAGTGCATCACAGGAAGCAGAAAATGATTATTTGCTTACTCTATCTGCTTGGTGTTAGCTGGGAGCCGACCATCTGTGCTCCACTGCATAAACCTAAGTGAGTATTAATGAGGCGTATCTCCGTGACTTCCTGTCACACACACACAGAGTCCCTCCACCACAAAACTGCTGATGTGGTGGACTTTGACCTGAGTGTCTCTTTAAGTGTCCTGTTTACTTATCACAAAACTTGTCAATATAAATATAGCCATCCAGTCATCAGGGGGAGATAACCCCCCAATGAGTAGAGATGTTTTAGGGATTATTGTGCTAATTATGTGCAGAGGTTAGACTGGATTAAAGAGTCTTGTAAAAACCGGTATCAGACTGCTGATCCAGTCTGTGTTTGCTATACTCCTCCTGTAACCTTACAGCCAATCTGGAGATATAAACATTCATTGACTATCATAAAATGATAAAGCCGCAGGTCAAAGTTTGCACACAGACTGTGTGTCACCATATAAACTGTACAAAGTAAGTTGTTGAGTAACCCTGCAGGACTCACCCTGATCAGGTTGTGGGCTACTGTTAGAGCGCTAGAGATCCCCCCTTTTTCTCCAGGAGCATGCAGGCCTGTCCCGTATCCCTGCACAGCCACTAAGTAGGGGTTGTGGATTGTAAGCCAATATTTGACATGTTTCCCAAATGTTTTGAAACAAAACTCTGCGTATTCCTTAAAATGTTCAACTAACGTGTCGTTTTTCCATCCTCCATATTGATCCTGGAACACCTGCGGCAGGTCCCAGTGATAGAGAGTTACAATAGGTTCGACTTTCTTCTCCAGGAGCCTCTCCATGAGGCGGCTATAGTGGTCCACAGCAGCTGCATTTGGCTCTCCAGCGGCGTTACCATCAGGGAAAAGTCTGGGCCAGGAGAGGGAGAATGAGTATGATCTTACACCTAGGTATCCAAGTGCTGCCACGTCTTCTTCCCAGTAGTTGTAGCTGTCACTTGCCACATCTGCTGTCTCACTGTCAGAGGAGTGAGTGAAATAGTCCCAAATAGAGACGCCTTTCCCATCCTGGTTCCAGGCTCCTTCAGTTTGGAAGGCCGATGTTCCAGAGCCCCACAGGAAATCTTGGGGGAACGTCTCCTCAAGAAAAAGCTGCTCTTTAATAATGGGGTTCGATTTAGGTCGCTGCCAGATGCTCCTTCCTTCCCCAGGAGAGCAGATTGCCTGGTTCCAAAGAAACATCAAAGACAGAAGGGAAACCAAACGGTATGTGGGACAGGGAGGATGGTTCAGCATACTGAAGGAGTCCACCTTGTCTTGAAAATCCACTTTAAAGGCAATAAGCAGGTATCAGTCAGCTGCAAGTATGATCATAATTAATTCCCTCCCAGTTTGCAGTAGATCCATAGCAGGTGAACAAACACAGAGAAACAAACAGAGAGGGACAACAGGAGCCTCAAGGTGTTGCTGTGTCCATCTGACAACCTGGTTAGCCTTCCCTATCTGTTTCTCCCTCTGTGTACTTCTGCACCCTCTCAGCCCCTCCCAGCAACTTTACCATTCGCACATACAAAGGTTGACTCATAGCCAAGCACGCTGTTATTACTGCCTTTTCACACAAAAAAATCACTCTTATTCAGAGATGGGAAGTAACGAAGTACAAATACTTCGTTACTGTACTCAAGTAGATTTTTCTGATATTTTTACTTTACTTTACTACTTATTTTTATGGCGACTTTTTACTTCTACTCCTTACATTTTTACACAAATATCTGTACTTTCTACTCCTTACAGTTTTTAAAATTGGCTCGTTACTTTAGTTTTGAATAATTTCAATGGAGTTACCGTTATTATTTTTCACGTCATCAATACCAAATTCAATATAATTGGATGGGAATCTACGTTGCATTTGACGCACCACTACAAGATGAATCGACAGATTCGGCGGTATTCATTCGCGGCAAATCATTGCAGCTTGGTGGCGGTGGTGTTAGCATAGTAGCATGGACGACGAGATGATTGAAAATGAACACAACGGAGATCTAGTCCTATTGGCAGACATCCATTTAAAATGTAGGCAACGGCATGAAAAAAGTGGTTTCTACTTTTACTTTTATACTTTAAGTAAATTTACAAGCCTGTACTTTGTTACTTTTACTTGAGTAAAGAAGTTTAATCAGTACTTCCACTTTTACCAGAGTATTTTTTAACACAAGTATCTGTACTTTTACTCAAGTACGGAAAGTGAGTACTTTTGCCATCTCTGCTCTTATTCGGAAAAACGATGGAAAATGTAATTATAACAGCAGATGCTGACACCTCATTACAGTTTTTAACTGTATTAATGAGCTGCTCTTTTCAAGGGTTTTTGTTTCTGCACATCTCTGTGTCAATAATTAGCTTGTACTCTGATCTTGAAGAAATACTTTACTGGAATCTCCTCTTAATAATCACTTACATGTTTTTGATTATCCATAAGCAAAGAACACATTTAGAGGATTTTTTAGAGGATTTACAAGCGATAGTTGTAGTTGTCTTTCCTTTTTTTCTTTTTTTTTTAGATTGTTGTTGTAAGAGGTGCTAAGGACATCTGCAACCCCTCCCCAGATCTGATCTAACACTGCCAGGTGACAAAGGACACAACAGGTTATCTGACCTTATTAAATTTTGCTCTCCTTTCCGTAGATGTGCCAGCCGCTCACCCAAGGCAAAAAGAGCACAGGGTTGTTGAAAACATTACAGGGATATGTGTGTTTTAAAGAAAAAAAGAAAGAAAATCACCTAAAAAAAATCCTGTTGTCCTACACTAGAGCCTGTTGTGAAGCAAACAGCACAGTCACTGTCTGCTTCAAGGCATCGAGGGGATAAGCAAATTTAAAAAATTGACAAATGTGTATTGATTAATCCCACTGGCATTACGGGGTCGCCATGGTGTTAACAGAAATATGCTGCTGGAACTGAGCTGCTCTGCCTTTTATGCAGCTCACGTCACACAACACCTCCCTTGGAGCAAAACTGGAGATTTTATGCTTTATACCACCAAAAGAATACTTTATATAATATATAACGGATATAAAGAATGTTAAAGATTTTAAAGGACTAAAATAAATTGATTGCTGTATATCTACTGTCTTGTCAGGAGGCAGGATTTCTCCAAGCCTGTCTGTTCTGTAAACAAAACAGGAAGTAAAAAGAGGATGTAATTTTTTTAAATGATGACTCGTAAGAGAAGGACTTTCACTTCTATCTGTTTCCCATCAGCTCTGCTATTAAGTTGAACCGTTTTAACAAGCGAGGAACTGAAGTAGATCCTATAGCTGAGATTATGGGTGTCTTATAACTATTTTCTCATCTATTAAATCAATTATATGAATTTTGAAGAGTTGGATTTGAAAAGGGACTTACCTCAGCTCAGGTTAGTACGTCCTGCGCTCTTTTCTATGTGTTTGTTGTTGCTCAAGTTGCATTTAAAGGCTTTTGGTTTGAACTATTTTGTGGATTGATCTACAAACAAAGGAGGGTTTTCAAAAAGTTAAGAACAGGAAACTTAAGGATTGTGTGATTTTATTAATCAACACGGACTTGCTTTATTAATCAAATGGTCTTTAAGGTTCAACCTCAACCTTCAATTCTATGCGATAGGTAGGATTATAAATTGTATGGTCTGTGTTTATATTTAGCCCTCAAAGTCTTTAACAACATGCATTTGTGAGTTATAACGTTATTTACATTTAGAGGATGAGCTTTTTGCCTTTTGTTTTTTGCAAAATAGTTTAGGGACAGTCAGCATGAACAGATAACTTCCATTAATATTACATTTTTTATGTACCGGTATGTTCTTATTTGGATTAGATTTGAACTTTGACTGGGCCATCCTAACACATGCATATGTTCAGTCTAAATCATTCCATTGGAGCTCTGTCTGTTTGTTTAGGGTCGTTGAGTGGCTGAAGAGTAATTCCCCATTGAGTCCCAGGCTTTCTGCAGATCATTAAAGGAGTAATTTTTTCCAAGAAAAGGCTTTTATTTAGCTCACCTTTCAGTTGACTCTGACCCTACTCCCTGCCCGGCACCTCCACAGTATAATGCTGCCACCACCAAACTTACCTGAGTATTTGGTGTGCAATGCAGTAAAGGTACTCACCTGGTTTAATTTATAATGGTATTTATAAACACAGTGAAACACACTGATGGATGTGGTATCATCCAGTGTGCACGAATGCTTGTGGAAGAGATTCTATATTTATCATAAAGGAAAACATAAAACATTTTGTCATACTGTAGCTATATAGTTCACCTTAAATAGTTTAGAAGTGCCCATGATGTTAATTACAAAAACTATATTAGAATATTATTATTGTAAGCAAATTACCAGAACGACCAAAGCATGTCACTGATAGAAGTCTAGATTTAAATGTGTGAGTCTCTGTGAAAGATGTAATAGTGAAAAACAGGGTCAGTTCTCCAAGGGACAATAACGCCCTCTAGTGTAACAATAGTATGCTAAAATATATAGGAGACCAATTTTTTTTCAAATCTGTCTCTCTATCTTTCTATCTATCTATCTATCTGTGTCAATTATAAAAAGCAAAATAAATTTTGAGGTAGGCAGTTTCTTAGCACTTTTGCAGCTCTTTTTCTCATTACATTAAATCTTGCCCTCACAATCGGGAACAACAAGCTGAGTAATGATGATCGAGTAATTTCTTCCCTAATTTGATTGGCCTCTCTGTATGTCTAGACAGTTTTAGTTGGAGCAAATATCAGAGCTGGGTAGAGTACCCAAAAATTATACTCAAATAAGAGTAGCACTACTTCAGCATTTATTTATTTTACTCAAGTTAGAGAAACAAGTACTCATCCATCAAGCAAAATTGTATTAAAGTAAAAAGGCTGGTTGAGAACTGAGAATCCATTAATCATCAGATTTTATCAAATGTTTAGAAATAATGTAGTCAGACAGCTTATGTGGAAGATCTGGTATTTTGAAGAGTAAAATGCATTTTAAAAAAAGTATAAATAGATGACTTGATTACAAAATAACAACTCCCTGCTGCAGACGTTTCCTGATCAATATTTTTCAATGTTACTTATAGAATCAAGCCTTACTGCAATTAATGTATTTATATAAAACCATGGTAAATAACTTCCTCTGATAATATCTACTGTTTATTGTAGATTCAACTAACCTCTGAATAACTCAACTTACCCATAGAGTAGACAGACATGTTCGCCAAAGTAGAAGTATATATTTCACACAAAAATTACTCAAAAATTGAAGTAACAGCATATTTTCCTTCCATTGTACAACTAATTATAGCAACTCTTTGTTTAAATACCAGCTAGAGTGCTATTGGATCCTCTACATTTTATCATTTTATCACTGTATCTTTGTTTTCTATAAACATTTCTAATGTCTTTTTCATGTAAACAAAAAATCAGATTGTTTGAATAAATTTAAAAATCACAATCTAATTTACTATACTGTGAATAATCAAAAATTGGACAATACACGCTATAGCATGCCATTTGCTGAAAGAACAGTTTAATTTCTCCAGTGATTAAGTCAAAATTTTACAAGAAAATGCAGTGATGGGAAGAAAATATTAGAGCTCCCTTATGTATTTGTTCTGTTCATTACATTTTTCTGGTAATATACCTGTAGAACTAGTAAGTGAAGAAAACGATGGTGGTATAATATGTTTTGCTGGAACAGCATAACTTTTGTTTTCATAATTTAAAACCTTTTTTAAAGTAATTATGTTTTATTCAGGACTCCTAAAGTGGCTTTTTTTTTACCCTAATCTGGTTCAAATGTCTTTTTCAAAACCTCTTATTTAAACAATTAGCTATCTGATTATTAATCAGATAACTGAAAAAAATAGTCAACACTTTAATATTAAAATAAATTATAGTTTGTTGAATCCCTGCTTTTTTATTTCTTCTCTTAAAAGCATTACAAGGGAGGAGTGCTGCATTAAACATTTGTTTTCCTACACAAATTATAGTATAGTCAGGTGTTTTTATCCCATCAATCTGTTATCATCTTCTGCTGTTTCTCCATAGAGACCATGATGGCCTTGGCTGGGTTCCTGTGGGCAGCGGCCATATTGGTGTCGCCACAGACGTGTGCTTCATCCGACAACGTCGTAGATCTTTCGTCAAGGAACCTCTCCTCTGTCCCGTCCGACTTGCCTCACACAGCTACTGAATTAGATCTGTCATGCAACCACATACATCAGCTTCATAAAGGAGATTTCAAAAGCATGTCCCTCCTTCAGTTCCTGAATATGTCATGGAACGGCTTGGAGCTGATTGAGGCAGAGACGTTTGTAGACACACCGCTTTTAGACAATCTGGATCTGTCACACAACCTGCTGAGGAACCTGTCAGATCAACAGTACCTGTCACATACAAGGAACCTTAGAGTGATGAACTTGGCACGGAACAAGTTTCTTAACATGACCTTGGGAAGAGAGTTCAGTTTCTTGGAAAAAGTAGAGAAATTAACACTTGAAGCAAAAGCCATCAGCTTGGGGGATTTCAAGAACATTGCTAAGGTGAAGCTACATTGCTTGACCATTTCTCTGGATGAGACATTTGCTTATGAGGCGACCAGCCTAATGGATATTCATGCTAAAAGAATACAACTGGACCTAAATGGTGGGCAAATAATCCAGAGTGATCTGATTGCCGACGCATTCTCATACTTTGTAGAAGTAGAGGTGAAGAATGTAACTGGAGGCTACAAACATATAAAAACGCGGCTTGGTGAAAAACCTAAAATCTCCACTTTCAGTCTTTCCACCAGCAACATTGTTATTGAGTGGAAAGATTTAACCGAATTAGTAAATGCAACGCTGCGGACCTCTATTGCCCAGCTAAGCGCCACTGAAATAGTGATTGAAAATCTTCCTTATATAGACACGATTCTGAAGGGGACATCTTCAATGCAGTCCTTCACAGTCAAACAAGCAGTTGTAAACTCCTTCTTCTTCTCTCAGGAGGCAGTGTACAACTTTTTCATCAACCTGCCAGTAAAGCACTGTGCAATTGTGGAGACATCGCTAATTCACATGACATGTCCAAAGCATCAGAGTCCTATCCTTGATTTGGACTTCTCCTACTGTGCGCTGGCTGATTCCATCTTTTCCAGATTTGAGGGTCAAGAAACAGTCGAATGTGAGACTCTAAGTAATGTAAAAAAACTCTCTCTGGTTGGAAACAATCTTAAGAACCTTCAAGTAGTGAGCAAACGGTTGCAGTACATGAAATCTCTTCAACACTTGGACCTCAGTATCAACTCCTTGATGTACGATGGTTCCTCTAAGTGTCGGTGGCCAAGTAACATCACCCTTATGAATCTTTCCTCTGGAGGTCTAACAGATGATGTTTTTAAATGTCTTCCAATAGGGGTAGAAACACTGGACCTGCAGAACAACCAGATTTCTGTGATACCGTCACTTATCCACAAAATGGAAAATCTCTCTTCTTTGAATCTGACAGGTAACAGGCTGCGGGATCTGCCAGTGTGTGTCGACTTCCCCCAAATGACCGAGCTTCTGCTGGGGTTGAACTCTCTCCACGCCCCTACAGTGAACCACTTGAGCCATTGCCCCAATCTGAAAATCCTGGATGCAAGTTACAACCCATTCACCTGTACCTGCCCTCTGAGGCACTTCATCCGCCTTGGCATTCAGAGCGAGTATGAGCGAAGTCCCTCAGGCCTTACACTGCGAAACTGGCCAGAAGGTTACCACTGCATTTACCCAGAAGAAGTTAGAGATTTGATGCTAGAAAGCTTTTGGATTCCTGAGATCTCCTGCAGCGCCAGTCTTCTAGCAGCCACCATCCTTGTTCCTTCGGTGGCACTGATTGTCACCATTTTCGTTCTGTGCCGACGTCTAGATATTCCCTGGTACATGGGTATGATCTGGCAGTGGACCAGAGCCAAACATCGAGCAAGAATGAGGCAGCTTCGACCTGAAGACCTGGTGGGCATAGAGTTCCATGCTTTTGTGTCTTACAGCCAGCACGATGCAGACTGGGTGAAGAATTCCCTACTTATCAACCTCGAAGGCCCTGCAGGAGGGCTCCGAATCTGCCACCATGAAAAAGACTTTGTACCCGGTAAGACAATTATGGAGAACATCATCACCTGCTTGGAGAAAAGCCGCCGCTCAGTGTTTGTGCTCTCTGCTCACTTTGTCAAGAGCGAATGGTGCCATTATGAGCTGTACTTTGCCAGCCACCAACGTCTTTCTCAGGGCTTGGACAGTATCGTGCTGGTGCTGCTTGAGCCACTGCCCCAGTACCTTATCCCATCCAAGTACTACCAGCTTAAGTCCATGATGAACCGACACACCTACCTGGAGTGGCCTCAGGACAAAGCCAAACACAGGCTGTTCTGGGCTAATCTCAGAGCTGCTCTGCAGACTGACCTGCCAGTGGTTGATAAAGAGGAATAACTCTTTAGCCAATTGTTAAATTAAAGGATATCACTGAATTTATGGTAGATACCGTTATCCATGTTATGGTTCGCTTTAATGCATTAAAAAAAAATCTGAGGAAAGAAGACTGGATGAAAGGGGATAAAAATGGAAGGATGGACAAAACTACAGATGGACTAAACTGTAGAAATTCACTGATCTAGTATTCGTAAAGAAATGGGTCTGATCTATAGGGGCAGATCTATTCAGCCTTTTTCTATGATAAATGTAACTAGGTTTAAAAAAAATCTCTTGAACAGCAGAAATGTTTACTATGTGCTTCTGTCTTTGATCTAATAAAAACTGACAATTTGAACACCTGCAAATGCATATGTTTTTTAAGATGTAAATGTCTCGATAACGTGATTTACTGTTTTAATGAATTCCTTTCCTCATCTTATATTAATCTCAGGTTGCCATTTAGGATATACATGTTTCCATCCATACATGCCATACTTGCTTGTATATAGGAGTGCCTGAAAGTCTCTTGAAAAAAACAGTAATGATGGTAACATTAAAGCAGAACTCTGACATGAGAGAAAAGTATCGGGTTTTGCAAACATCTCAATTCAAATGTCGGGATCGGACAAAATACAGGTCATCCCTACTCAACTTACGGGCTAAATGGACAGATAGAATCAATAGACTTAAAGTATTTGGAAAGGGAATAAAGTTAGAAATTACAAATGTTTTCCCTAACTTGTTTTGCTTTTCTTTAGCTCTACAATTTGTATAGAGTGGGTTCCCTACTTCACCAGATTACATAGGAATCCTGAAGGAAGTGTGAACGAGACATTAGGGAACTTCTTTTGATTTCAAGGGAACAGAGTAACGATCAGATTTTGGTCACACAAGCGCACTGCTTCTTAAGGTGGGCATCAGGACCAAACTTAAAATCATGATAAGGTCTTAAGATGAATAGAAAAGATGTTATTAATTCCGCTTCTCTTTTCTTTGTAACTGTGTTTAACCCATGTTTTATAAATGTTAAGTGATAATTCAATTCAATTCAATTCAGTTTATTTATATAGCGCCAAATTCACAACACATGTCATCTCAAGGCACTTTACAGTTCAACCAGATCATACAGTCAAATTGATACAAAGTTTTCTATCTAAGGAAAACCAGTTGATTGCATTGACTCATTGACTCAAATACAATCCCCCACACTAAGCATGCTTGTAGCGACAGTGGAGAGGAAAAACTCCCTTTTAACAGGAAGAAACCTCCAGCAGAACCAGGCTCAGTGTGAGCGGCCATCTGCCGAGGCCGACTGGGGTTCAAGGAGACAGAAGCAGAGATACAAAAAGCAGCTGTAAAAGGCGGCCCCGTCCAGGAAACACACAGCCAGGCAGACGAGCTCCAAGGCAGCTCCCATGCCAGAGGACGAAGAGAGCACATCCACTCAGTCACGGTCAGAGAAACAGGACCACACTGGAAAACAGGCCGATCTCCAACATCTATAAACAAGGGTGTTGATAGAAGCAGCACAGCTGATGTTTCTTTCCAGGATGACGTCACAGCCAAACAGGAACAGACGAGGCAAAGCTACTCTGAGGAAAAGCAGAGAGAGCAGAAGGTTAGAGATTGAACTAACAGATTCTGCAGAATAGGAGAACAGAGAGAGAATGAAGCAGAATGATGAAATGGGGGTCCCTATGTCCTCCAAAAGTCTAAGCCTATAGCAGCATAACTATAGAGATAGCTCAGGATAACCTGAGCCACCCTAACTATAAGCTTTATCAAAAAGGAAAGTTTTAAGCCTAGCCTTAAAAGTAGACAGGGTGTCTGCCTCACGGACTAAAACTGGTAGTTGGTTCCACAGGAGAGGAGCCTGATAACTAAAAGATCTGCCTCCCATTCTACTTTTAGAAATTCTAGGAACCACTAGTAAACCTGCAGATTGAGAGCGAAGTGCTCTGTTAGGAACATAAGGAACAATCAGATCTCTGATATAAGATGGAGCTTGGCCATTTAAGGCTTTATATGTGAGAAGGAGGATTTTAAATTCTATTCTTGATTTAACAGGAAGCCAATGAAGAGAAGCCAGGATAGGTGAGATATGATCTCTCTTTTTAATTTTCATTAGAACTCTGGCTGCAGCATTTTGGATCAGCTGAAGGCTTTTAACTACAGTTTGTGGACTTCCTGATAGTAAAGAATTACAATAGTCCAGCCTTGAAGTAACAAATGCATGGACTAGTTTCTCAGCATCACCCCTGGACAGGATATTTCTAATTTTTGCAATGTTCCTCAGATGAAAGAAGGAAATTCTAGAAACCTCTTGATATGGGATTTAAATGACAGGTCCTGATCAAAAATAACACCAAGATTTTTTACTTTATTATCTGAAATCAGTTTAATCCCATCCAAATGAAGTGACTGGCTAATCAGTTTCTTTTTCAGAGACTCTGGTCCAAAGACTATAACTTCTGTTTTGTCTGCATTCAGAAGCAGAAAGTTAAGAGTCATCCAGGTTTTTATGTCTTCAAGACATGCCTGTAATCTATGTAATGGGTTAGCTTCATCTGGATTTATAGACAGATATAGCTGGGTATCATCAGCATAACAGTGGAAATTAATCCCATGCTGTCTAATAATTCTACCAATTGGGAGCATGTATAAAGTAAAGAGAATTGGTCCTAGCACTGATCCCTGTGGTACTCCACAGGTAACCTTTGAGCGTGTTGAAGATCTATCATTAACATGAACAAACTGAATTCGATCAGATAGATAAGATTTAAACCAGTCTAGTGCTGTTCCTTTAATTCCAACAAAATATTCAAGTCTTTCTAAAAGAATATTATGGTCAACTGTATCAAATGCAGCACTAAGATCCAACAGGACGAGCACAGATACAAGTCCATTATCTGAGGCCATGAGAATATCATTAGTGACTTTCACCAGAGCTGTTTCAGTGCTATGATGAGCTCTAAAGCCAGACTGAAACTCTTCAAAAAGTTCATTATGGTGGAAGTGATCGCAAACTTGTTTGGCAACTACTTTCTCAAGAATTTTGGATAAGAAAGGAAGATTGGATATAGGTCTATAATTGACCAAGTCATCTGGGTCAAGAGATGGTTTCTTAAGCAGAGGTTTAATTACAGCAACCTTAAAAGCTTTAGGTACATATCCCTGTAACAGAGATAGATTAATCACATCTAAAATGGAGGAGGAGATCAAAGGGAATACCTCCTTAAATAACCTGGTTGGAACTGGATCTAACATACAAGTTGAAGGCTTAGATGAAGACAATAATTTTGCTAATTCAGAGAGTTCAACTGGATCAAAGCAGTCTAAACCCGGTTCAGATTCCATGACTACCTCAGGTACAATCGCGGATAGAGGAGTGCTTATGATCTTATTTTTAATAAGATCAATCTTATTTATAAAGAATCCCATAAAATCATTGCTGCTAAGAGCAGGTGGAATGGACGGTTCAACAGAGCTATGGCTCTGGGTGAGTTTGGCGACTGTATTAAAAAGAAATCTAGGATTATTCTTATTCTCCTCTATTAATGAGGAGAAGTATGCTGCTCTTGCTTTACAAAGGGTCCTCTTATACAGCAGTAAACCATTTTTCCAGACTAGGAAGGACTCTCGCAGGCCTGTGGAGCGATATTTTCTCTCCAGCTTCCTAGCATTTTGCTTCAAAGTACGCAGCTCTGCATTAAACCAAGGAGCAAGCTTTCTATTTTTAACGGTTTTCATTTTCAAAGGAGCTGCGTTGTCTAAGGCAATACGCAGAGAACTAGCAACCCCATCAACAAAATCATCAACCTGTGAAGGGGAATAAGCTAAGCTTTTGCACTCTGCAGCACTGCTCAGTGACACAGAGGAGAGAGAAAGTGAAGCAGATTCTTTAAAATGTATAACTGCACTATCTGATAAAGATCTACTAAAATTGAACCTTCTTTTGGGGGAGGAGAACTCTGTTAAAGTAATCCTGAAGGTTATTAGAAAGTGGTCAGAGAGGACAGGGTTGTGAGGAAATACTGTTATTTCTTCACATTCTATGCCGTATGTCAGCACAAGATCCAAAGTATGAAGATGAGAATGTGTGGGACTATTCACATTTTGAACAAAGCCAATAGTGTCTAAGATAGCATTAAAGGCTGCTCTTAAGCTATCGCCTTCAATGTCAGTATGGATGTTAAAATCTCCCACTATGATGACCCTGTCAGTATTTAATACCAAATCAGAAAGGAACTCTGAAAACTCATCTAAAAATTCAGAGTAAGGACCTGGTGGACGATACAAAGTTACAAAAAGAAGAGGTTTTCTTGCCTTGAAATTTGGATGAGGGAAATTAAGGGTTAAATGTTCAAAAGAGTTGTAGGTATTAATTGTTTTGGGAGTAATCAGTAAGTCAGACTGGAAGATTGTTGCTACTCCTCCTCCTCGCCCAGAACTTCTGGGGATGTGAAAATTTAAATAGCTTGAAGGAGTTGCCTCATTTATGCTCACATAATCCTCTTGCTGCAGCCAGGTTTCTGTAAGGCAAAACAAGTCAATGTGATTATCACAAATCAAGTCATTAACTAGTAGACTTTTAGAGGAAAGCGATCTTATGTTAAACAGACCGCATTTAATTGTTTTAACTTTTTCCCCAATTGGAGTTATTTTGATTTTAATTAGATTATCATGATTTACTCCTTTGGGAATCTTTGCTAATTTATTAGATTTTGGTCGTGGGCAAGACACTGTCTGGATGGAGTAAAGAGTGGGTAACAGTAGAGAAGCTGCTGAGATGTGTGTTAAACTACAACTCTGCTTCCTGGTCTGCACCCTGGGTGGTCAGGGTTTTGGAGGACTAATAAATGTGGCCAGATTCCTAGAAAGAAGAGCTGCACCATCCAAAGTGGGATGGATGCTGTCTCTCCGAATCAGACCAGGCTTTCCCCAAAAGGATTGCCAATTATTAATGTAGCCCACGTTGTTTTCAGGGCACCACCTAGACAACCAGCGGTTGAATGACGACATGCGGCTAAACATGTCATCACTGGTCAGATCAGGGAGGGGACCAGAGAAAATTACGGAGTCCGACATTTTTTTGGCAAACTTACACACCGA